AGACCGCTCCATGAGAAGGCCTTGATGCTCAAGTAGGATAAGAAGTGGTTTAAATGGGTCAGCTTCTAACATCTTCAAGGATCTTATTGCCCTTCTTTCCTCTGTTTGGCACACATGTGCCAAAAGGACAATGAAACCTAAATCCTGAAAATAGCTTGACATAAAGATCTTCTAAATTGCAGTTTTACTGCATAGGATTCTATTTCTCCAAGCTGAACTCCATAAGTTGGTGACTGACGTAGCTTCTCATTCAAAGTATCCAACTGTAAATTCAAAATCAAGATAATAGGAAGCATGAATGAAACATATTATGGAATTAAAATCCTTTTTAACAGCATCAGTTATTTATCGAGAAAACTAATTGTTATCTTGCAGCATGTTGACACTTGACATTAACTGAACCGAGCCAAAGAACTGCTATCATGCCCTTCCACCTTGTCTAGCCGAAAATCTGAGAAAGAAAATCAAGCATCCTCCAAAACCTTGTAATCAGAGTTGGCATGATGTTTTAAGGTAGAAACTTCTCAGTCAAGCTTGACTTGCTGATTTACACAACACATGATTATACCTATGTGCTTATTATCATCGCTAAAGAAGATTTCTTCCCCATACTTTAAAGTTAATGCCAGCTCTCACTATGCTATTCAGGTACATAATTGACACATTACTTATAGTAACAAAAAATTGGAACAATTACTGTCACAACTTTTCACATTTATAGGTACCAAGCAGTAGGCACATTCACATGTACTGGAAAAGTAATGGAATTTTTTTCATGTCATGAAGATTTGTTGGTATTACCGTATTCCATTCTGAAAAGGGGTAGTGGACTATGTAAGGAAGCTTAACATTTTATTTAGGACACATAAGGAAGTCACTGAGCATCTATTGTACAGGTAAATGGACCAACAATGTATGGATTTGCAAGTTAATGTACACACCAAAATGCAGGATATAAGCCACATATAGTAAGGGAAGAGAGAGAGAGAGAGAGAGAGTTGCATTTTGTTTACCTGATAAAGGTAACTCTCTGTAAATGAAAGTATTGGTAAGTATTTGAATATCAACTGCGGCTGGTGAACATCCATCTTATGAAACATAAATATGACCTGCACCGTTCATCAGTACCGTAAGTCCAACAATGTTGAGGACAATCCCAAAGGAAAGTCTTGCCATTGCAAGAACAAGAATTTCCTCCTATAATATAAAGTAAAACCAGCCTGAATAAATTTTAACCCAGTTCTGTAGGCAAAAGAAAAGACTCCTATAATACTATAAAAAAAGGACTTTTGCTAAAGATTGCATGGTTTGGTTATAACAAAGAACAATATTGCTCACAAAATCTTCCAATGTAGAATTTGTTCAAAGCATGGAGTCCAGCCCAATTGTAGCAGCTCCTTGGAAGTTGTCTCATGATCAATCAACCTTTTGCTCATCATCACAATGTACTGGCACAGCATTTTCAATATGTTCATTACCTACAAATTAAAACAGAACAGTCAGCTAAAATTTGCAGAAAGAATTAATAAACCTAAAAGATATACCCTATATCCCTTCCAAGAAGTAGTTTAGCTCAAGTGACATTTTGCAGAAAATAAATTTTTTATTTTAAAGTGACATTTTGCAGAAGTTTCAGACAATTAATACAAACGAGCAAGTGACCTCTTTTTTTCAGATTCATTTAAGTCATATATGGCCTAAACTCAGCTCCACTATGTAATGAAGCTGAGGGCACAATCCATAAGAAGATAGTCAACAAACAAAAAATGTTAAGAGTAGAACTGGAAAACTTTACTTTCTTCCCCAATACATTGCAGTGCTTCGTCCAAAAATAAAGTTGAAATTTGTCAAAAGGATAATCACAAGCATAAGTAGAGTTCTTGCATTCCATTTACTCTAACCTTAGATCACCCAAAGAAGCTTAGGCAAGTTATCATACAACACAAAAAAGTAACCTTTGTCATATACTCTGAAATCAGTTTGCACTTCATTTCCATGTCAAGCGCACTGCAAGGTTGAACCTTCACCAAATTGATTCAAGGTCACAAGGGGAGAACAATGAAACAAATAGGTGAAACAACTCGAAACTTTTTAATTGGGTGTCTGTCTGCCTGAGAGTCTGATTGAGATGAACTGGAAGTCTGGAACAGCAAATAAAATTTAATAGAGAATAAAAGAAAATTTAATCAAGGGGCAGGAACAGCATAAACAAAATTAAAATGGAGAAAGCAGTGGACTTGAGAGACAAACAAAAAACAGAGAGATGGAGAGAAGAGATTTGACTTGTGTTGAAGAAAAGAAGAGAGGGGCAAAAGAGCAGAGGAAGAAGATTGATTGATTGAGAAAAGGAAAAGGAGAAACAAAGGGGTGAGGAGGACGTCTGGACTCTGGAGATTGGAGTGGGTAAGAGTTGGTGGAGCAGTTCCTGATTTCCAGTGAAGAGTCTGAAGACCACGACACACGTGAATTGATGTAAGAAATAAAACAATCAAAGGATGAAGACATGCATGAACACCATCTACAGTACAAAAATGTAGCGAGCGAAAACGGTAAAGCAAGCTTAAACAATGTACGAAGCAAAAATACTAAAGAAAGCATGAAGATTCTGAAGAATGCATGTTGGGGAAAATAAGTTAAGTATGAAATGACCAGGAAGGAGGCAAGAAATAGCCGGCAACTAATGCAGCCAGAAGGAGGAAAAAGCCAACCAAAACAAAGAAACAAGCATCTGACCTGCAACCAAATTCCTGCCATAACACATAACAGAAGATCAGCTCCATAGCAGCGTCCTCGGAAGAACGAGAATGCCAGAAAATCCCAAGTACAAGGACATCAAATAAAGCTGTAGAAGAGGAAATGACAAGCACAGAAAGATGAGATATTGGAAAGAAAACAAAGAGGCGGGAAAGCCTTTTTTTTGTTTTAAAATGAGCTCACCACAATAGCAACGGCATACATGGATCAGCATTCATCAGCACGGGAACAGGGGAAAAAGGAACAAAGTCAGCGAATAAAATAGCAAATGCTGCCACAGGTGATAAGGAGAAGCAGTAAACAGCATATAAAACGAAAAGCGAAAAACTGGTGGAGATAATTACCCTGAAACTGGTCAATAGAAATGAAAGCTCCAAAGAACAGAGAACGAAGCAGAGGGATAAAGAGCAAACCAACCTTATAGCTGAAACAACAGAACGAAAGAGGGAAAATGATCACCGGATGCATAAACCAACCACAAAGCATGATAGCATCTGCAAAATCCAGGACAGAAAGTATGGAGCAGCTTCCAAAGACGTACGGAGGACAACGTTCGAAAGTATAAGAGGCAAAGAAGGGACGCATGGCTGAAAAGTTACACAGTGACAAAGCATTGTTTTGACATCTATAACCCAACAACAGCAGCTAAACTAAGTCAACCCACAAAAAGAAAGTAAATAAACATGTAAGACAAGGGTAAATAGGTAAAACAGAAGTTGTCACATTGACCCAAATACACACTCTAACCTCACCAAAAACCTGACATTAGGTAAAATGGGAAGCAGAGTATTACTATCAGCACTACAAGCCTAACACTATTATTATTATTATTATTATGACCACTATGAGTCCGGTCTTGGGTTCCATTGAAGGAGTTAATTTTTTTCAGCCAGGGCTCGGTGGCTCACAAACGCAATCCACAGGCCAACAATCATGGAGAACGACCACTTTTCAGCAAATCATCAAATGACATGTCAGCAAACAAAACACACCATCGGACAACTTCCTAAGCACTTAGTCTATATATGGTTGATAAGGTGGTGGTATCTTGGTTTATAGTTGATTTTTGGTGAAAGGGGCAAAAATTAGGGATTTTGGGGCTGCAAAAATTGGTGGAATTTAGGAATCAAAATTAGGACTACCAAAGTTGATCAAGTTTGCTTCATCAATTTGGTAACGTCAAACATGATCAATTTGGTAAGATTGTAGTTTTCATGCAAGGTGAAGAACTGATGAGTAAAAATTTTTGCTTTCCCTTTTCTATATAGACTATATAATTTTGCAAAAGGGTATATTAGGATATTTGAAGATAGTTTTGGTCTATTGGGTCTGGATTGTTACTAAAATAGTAAAAGGAAGGGAGGTTAGTGTAATTTTCTAAAATTAAGGGGAGCTGAGTGAAATTGTCAAAACCTCCGGGGAGGTTTCTGAAATTATCCCAATAATAAAAGGATGCACTAGTGGCCTAAATTGAAGTAATTTTGGCCAAAACCAAAAACATGACTGAGGAATAGGAGGAGCCCGTAAACATTTGCATCATTTTTATTTGCATGAACACATTTCTAGAGCGTAAGCGCTAAGTTTACGTGATTTGAGGAGAAACGATAGTTAAAAGACGTATCTAGCACCTTCCAAGTGCTTTAAATTCAACTTATGTTTGTCACCTTCGTTTATAGTATTTTAGTTATTGATTTATTTATTAATTATATTTTTATGTTCGAACTTAAAATAAATTGCAGACGTTGGCATAATTTCCTTCTTTTTATCCTCATCTTCAAATATATTTTCTTGATAACCACAAAGAGTTTTTTCTCCTTAGCGTACGTGGAGATAGCGAGATTAATTTACCCTTGAAACAAGATGGGATTCCTGCTCTTTCTTTATTAATCTCCCAAGTGTAAAAAGGCAAGTGAATTTAAATTACAAGTATATCCATAAGGACAGCTAATAATATAATCCATTATAACTGCAATATAAGGGTCGACGATTCAATCTTCAAGTAGAGGCTGCTTCGTCTTTGGGAATTCTCACCATTTCCCATCCCAAGATTTAGCAACTAAAATTTTCATCCTTAAAAGGCGCAGGGCCTCTAAACTTAAGGTTTAATTACTTCCAAGTAAAAACTATTGGATCCCTTCTCTCATTTCTCTCATTACATTTTTTGTCTTCTTTACATCCATCTTCCTTAGTTTTTTGCCCTTCATTTTGGCTCCTATGATCCCCTATAAGACACCTAAAACAAAATAATGGGCTGTGGTGCTTCAACATTGGGTGACAATGGCGCTGTCATGCCGGTTAAGGCACGGCCTCTCTTCCTCCATCGGTTTGAGGAATTCAAGAAACGAAGACATTCCCAGGCATTTAAAGGCACTACGCCTTCGAAGAAAGAATTGCTATTGGCAGATAAGGAAGAAGATCAAAGCGGTTCAACAAAACAGGATTTATCTAACAAGGCCGGGAAAGACTCATTTTTACATGATGAAACCGGTAGCTGTGTCACGTCTGAGGGCTCAAAAGGGGGATCACCAGACAGACTGACGAAAGAAGACTCCGAAAAAGAGGACGCCAGCAAGAAAGATGTATGTTCTGAGGAGGATATCTCAAGAGAAAAGGGTAATTTGGAAGAAAATGAAGGAAGATCAATTGAACCATTGGCCAAAGATGAGGCCAAGGTTGAACGTGTCATGGATGGAGATGTTAAAAAAGTGGAAGAGGTCGAAGATCATGAGGATGATGATCACGACGACGACGACGACGACGTTGATGATGATGGAAGAATGATCAGAAATCATGAGGATGATCTCTTCTTTCCAGGCTCCCCAAGTTTCAGAGTGTACTTTGTAGATAAAACAAAAGACAACAAAGATGAAGGTTAGCCATGAATACATTTGTCTTGCGAATTTTGATCGTTCCGTTTTGATATTTCAAAATAGTCTGTAAAATTAGAGTAACCAGAAAACGTGCAATGCAGGAGTGGATGATCATTTAACAGATGTGGCTCCAACTGATGATGATTCCGTCCCGTCAAAGGTATTCTTCATTTTGGCATGTAGCCATGCAGCTTATGAAGATCTTTTTCCTTCCTTGTGACTTGAGATCAACTATAATAGATTCTTTGTATTTATGACTATGAATTGTTTAACAATGCATTGCCATTTCGATGAATAACTCGAAACTTACAATGTTAACTCTAGTCACACCTCCTCTGAGTGACACACGCCTCTCATAGATTTTAATTGATTGCCATTATCAAAGAACAATCAATTGTCAATGTGAAATAGGATCAGAATTTGATAAGGTGTTGATAACTCTTATCGGTACGTACATGTACTCTTGTCTGAAAATTAATTAAATTGCCTTACATGTAGATCATGAAACTATATTTTGGTAAAAGCACCCATCAAAACTAATTTCTTTCTTCTTTGTTAAAACAAAACATATATATATTTTTTGAGTCAATACAATTGTATATGTTTTTCATTTCTCCGTTGTCCTACAGCAACTGCCCGTGGCTGAGGCATCGAAGAAAGGGAAGAAAAGGAGGAGTTTCAAGAAGGTTTTACCAACTGGTAAACAAGCAAAGAACATGTTCAATGTCCGAGCATGCATGTCATCCAACTCCATCACGACCGAACCCACTTGCTCCCTGCAAAAGCTCAAGCATGATTTTTCTAACTGGGAAAAGATTGGTACATTACACTAACCTCTTCTTGGAATTATCTTGACAGCACAAACCTCCTTTCTTAATTTTGTCGAATTACATTAACTCTCGTTTGATTTTTTTTTGGTCAGAAAATGGCTCTTCTTTTACTATTTTGTAAATATGTTTTCTCCATTACTCTTAACAAAGTAGTTCGAAAATTCATATAAACTTTTGACAATATTCCTGACTATATATGAAAAGTTTATTTAACTTGACATACAACTTTAAACGAGAGAATTTAATGTAGTTGCAACAAAAATAAATTTTAGAGTACAAGTCTCTGTAATTATCTTGATAATTCTCAAGGGAGGTTAGTGCTATTTACCCCAAGAAGAATATGAAGAGCCGTGGCGTTTGATTTATTAAGTTTTCTTCTCTAGCTCTAGCGAGAAAGCGGGGAGGTCAATTTTTGAGCCGGAGCAGCACCTCCATCAGCCAGAAATATTGTACTAGTTTGTTTATATATCCCTTTTATTTTTTTCTTTGTTTAATTTTTCCCTAAAATATCCACTTAAATGCAGTGGCTATTACCTTCTCTCTATTTTTATTTTTTATTTTTTGTGGCTATGACCTTCCTATTTATACACGAAAAGAAAAAAAAGTATGTATGTAATTTTATTGCTTGATATTTTGTAGACGTGCATAGGCTTCCACTTTTGTTTTTGGTGGAATTGAGCATTTGTATTAATAGGTTTTGACATGTTTTACTTTATTCTAAAAGCTACTGATATTGATATAAATGAAGGGTGTCTCTTCTTTTCTTTTTCTTAATTCTCCTAATGAGTGTCAACGAGGGTTTTTTTTCCCCCTTTTTTTTAGGAGTTTAGATGTAAATGGTGGTGACGATGAGACTTTAATTTAGTGGCTAAAATTGTGATTCTAGGAATTAGAGATTTTCGATTCTAATCTTCCTGTACTCTCCCCATTTCTTTAAAAGCATTCCTACCCTGCTAAAAAAAAAAAAAGAAAAAAAAAGGTAAATGGTGGTGGATTTGTGGCAAAGGGTGGCTTAATTACGTGATCTTTTGTGGATTTTTTCATTCTTTTTGACTACTAAACAAAGAAAAAAAAACTTGGCCTATTGAAATTTGAAAGCAATTGCCAGTTACCAATTAAAGTCATGGGCAACAATTCTTTGGATGCTTGGGATGAGAGTTTTACATATTTTGGTGTAAGGATCCCGAGAGTTCGGCTATTTCTGGAAATCATCATCATTTCAAGGGGCAAACTTGGTTAAATTCATTTTCAGGATGAAACAGAATTGACCCACCCTGAATAAAAACAACAGCAACTCAAAACTACCATCCTATTAGAAACGAAATATGCCTAAAGGACTTGATTTCATGTGCGAGTGTTGCAAACTAATAGGCTTAAGATTTCCAGTGAGTAGCCATGCATCCTTGACAATATATTGATCATGAACGAAAAATGCTTCAACAATTTTCTAAACCAGAACAGCATAGTTTTCAGGTTGCCTATCATATATAGCAATATGAAAATAAAGATGATTAATAACATGGATAATATAGGGAGTTGCCAACAGTCCCTTGCATATCAATCCAGGGCCATATCAGAGTCAAGACCTTGAAGTGATTGGACCTGTAAAAAGAGGCCGTAGGAAAGACTATCAACAAATCATTTAAAGGAAACAAAAAGAATTCACGATCTGATTTTTTGAAAACTGATCCCCAATGTTCAAACATACATGGTGATCTCTCCAACAAGACATTTATACAAGTACAAATCAGGTGTTTCTCAGTCATGTAGCAGTGGTTTTAGTTGAATTCCATGAAGGTAAAAGATGGGAAGGTAAAATTTATAAATTCACTTGTTTCCTCTTTTTGTTTGTGACAGGCCATAGGCTTCAAAGATTCCAAAGAGCATTTTTTTTTTTTTGGGGGCGGGGGGTAGATGGGAACTGGGAGAGGAATTCAGATAATGCAACAGGAGTTTCACATTGATACAAGAATATATCAGCTTGAACACTTTGGTTAGTTAAGGAAATAAAAACCTTGGAACTAGTACAGAGGTTCAAACTTTACCTAGTGACGTGAAAAAGCAGATGAGAGGAACTCTTCGTCCTCCAAGAATATCTCCAAGTTCTTGGTCTTCATCAAGAAATCAATGGCTGCCTCATCAAACTCCATCATGAAACCTAACTTGATCAATTCTGCCAGCTGATAGATATGATCTTCTTTTTCCCAAAATCCTGAAAAATTCCCTCAGAAAGAACTTCAGCAAAATGTGTAGCGTACTCGAGCATCTTTCTGCGACTGCCTGATTTGTCAAACTTTTGCAGAAAGAACTTCGAATCTTCTCTCTCCCAGCGCATCATTCGGCTTGCTTCCACATACAAACTCCCCAGAAGAAAGCAATAACTTGTAACCCACATTGATAGGCTCAGGTGTCACAAGAACAGTGATATTCAAGAGGCATTTAAGAGCTTCATGCCTTTTCTCTGCTTCGAGTCCAAGTGAAGGACTAGCTAGAAAGCCAAGGATTAGTTTGGAGAGTCCTCTGCCAATAAAGATTTCCTTGGGATTGACTTGCTCGAAATGAAATCCATGCAATGAAAGCAACTTCTTTTCAACAGATTCAGAGAGAGTGCGCACACCAATTTGGGCATATATCTCGAGCAACTTTCCCCTGGGCAAATATTGCAAGCTTGGCTGAGGAAACCAGACAAATAGAGGACAAGAAGATAGCTGCCCAAAATGATCTTTCAGAAACAGATCATCTGCAATAAAAACTTCGCGTTTCTGAAACAATAAAGTACTATCAGAACCTGTGAAAACAGGGTTTTGGACAACTCTTCTGAGAGAAGTTCCTTAGTCCGTGAATTCCAGTGCTTTACAAAAGCCCCAAAAAGCACAACAATCAGCATTTGATAATTCGCGGTTGCTGTCTTCCCATATCTTCCACAACTTGCAGTAATCATCAAGGGAAGGATTAGCTTTAACTCCAAAAGCACTGCTGAAAAAGCTCAGAATATCCTTTTGATAGTGCTTCTCCAAGACATACAACTGGAACCAAAGAGGCCTAGTGTGTCGTGAAGAACACACTTTTCAGGGCTCACCCATTCTCCAGTGCTATTGTCACTAGGAATCCATATCCTCTTGCTTCCTTCATCGCTTGGCTTCCAGTGAATCTGTACAGGTATTCATAGATTCGAGTGATGGCCTTAAACTCTGTATGAAAATCAAGAAAATTGGCCATCAATGGGCACCCACTGTTGATATCAGTAATAACACCCAATGCACAGAGCTGCTTTTTGTAAGATGCAATATTGGAGCCATAGAAGTTTTCATCAATGAACGGGCCATCTTCCTGCTGTAAGATAGATTTCCATTCAGAACCAAACAACAAGCACTCCTTTGAATATCTGTAGCCAGCAGTTGTCTTTAACCATCTTTCATCAACTTTACATGCAAAGGCATCAAGCACACGGTCATTCGGCTCTCTCTGTAAATTCTTTAGGCACTCCAACAATGAATATGCAGCTGCAGGTGTTATGCTGCTTGGATCATCAGGTAATCGAAGCCCAGCAGTTACAAATTTTGCACCATTCCTCAGTTCAACCACCACTCCTAGTTCTAGGAGCTCAAATTTATACTTATGAATGGCCTTTCTGGAGTGATAACCGAGGTCATCAATAAAAGGCAAAACAGCAATTTCAGAAATTGGTTCCCAGTCTGTTCCATATAGGATACAATCTTTTGGGGATCTATAATCACGAGTTTAGTCCTCAACCATTTTTCTTCATTGAAGCATTTCTTCACATCAGAAGGAAACAGGACACCAGGTGTATTTAGTTTTCTATAGCAGATAAAAGGGAAAGCACAGTATCCTTGCTTATCGAGCGCAGTGATGCCTGCTGCTTAAAGAACTTCGCAAATGCCCCAGCTGCTTCTTCAAATTGAACGTGCACCCCTATCATGTTTAACTCCATTTTGAAAGACGAGATTCTGCTCCCGTAGAAAGTTTCATCGATAATAGGAAAACTATTAAAAACCTGCAGAAGAAAACCCCATTGAGGATCAAACAAGTAACATTCAGCTGGAGATTTGAATCCCATGTTTGTCTTCAAACATTCGTTATGCTTAAGTGCCGCCACAAGTTTTTCAGACGAATTCCACATTCCTAAACATTCGAGAATGAAAAGAAAAGCTTCAGCAGAAAGTGAGTTCCAGGCTGCTGGAGCTTTGAAGTTGTCAATGTATACATCCATGTAACATTTATTGAAGCAACAAACCACACCAAGTAGCTTCAGTTCTGGTTTGAAAGAAAGAATCTCCTTCCCGTAGAAATCCTGATCAAGGAATGGAATGTTACTGGTCTTCGATGCAGCTTTCCAGTCCTCATTGAAGAGGACAGACTCTTCAGGCTTCTTGTAGCCTTGGGAAGTCCGCAGCCATCTTTTTCCTTTAATACTGGCAAAGAAATTGTCAACAGGAAGCATTCTATCACCCAAAAACTGATGAACTTTAGTATTGAAAGAACCTCAGCTCTGGTTAAATTTGATGAAGCTACTCGGGACATAAGATGGTTGCCAATATATTGACAGGCTTCTTGAAATTCAAACTTGACACCGAGTATCCTCAACTCTCCCACATAGTTATTAATCCTATCACCATAGAATTTCTGATCAATTATTGGAATATCAACTAAGATTGGTGCATTTTGCAGATTACTCGCTGATGATGCCGAAAGCAAGAATGATTGTGATGGAGGTCCACATCCAGCACTGCCACCCAAAGAAACTCTTACCCAATTACCCTCCTTCATGCTTGTCAAGAACTCAGCTGGGATGTTAATCTGCTTCCTTTGCAAAGTATGAACCCAATCCAGTAGCAAGAATGCATTTTGCTTGGTAAGCATGGAATAAGCACTAGGAATTGCAGCATCTGGAGGAGGTATATCAGGTATATCTGATGCTCCAAGATGAACATTAAGAAATTCTGCAAACTCCTTTTCAGAGCTGTAAAGACCAGCATGATAGC